ATTATTCAAACAACATAATTTCCCCAATGTTAACCTTGTTATAAAATTGCTATAGTATCATTTCAATTTTTCAGTTCATAAACTATCAATGCATTGTTATTATATTTATTATATATTGACCATGAAACAAAACTCTTAAATTCAATTCCAAACAACCTTCTCTAGAGAGCAATCAAAAATTAAAAACATTTTAGAATTTAGTTGACATGGGTTCTCACAATAAAACTGATAGCAGCAATTTTAATCCTTGTTATAACTCTGAATTATTGTCTTATTGCAGATGTCTCATTATTCTCATTTAAAAAAACACATGCACAACAAAAAACACCTGTCTAACAAATAGAAGATAGTAAAAAAAAAAAAAAAAGGAAATGTTTGAGTATCTACCCCTGAATATTTATAACATGCAAATGGAGTATTCTGAAATTTCCAACTTTTTTAAACAATCAAATCAATAAATCATGTGTCTTACAGGCATTAAAATTACAGGGTCAAATCCTTTACATTTTACAGTGCTGTAGATTTATATGGAAAATCAATTATTTCTGCTTACAAAGTGTGTGAGTTGCTAGATATATCCGGGGGACATGTCTAAACCACAGCCAATCGAGCAGCAGTCTGTAGTGCTCCCTGGTTCCTTAATATTTTGCAGCATTGAAGACATATATTCCCACACTCTCTAGAAATGCAACAGGTGTTTCTGTAGCCCAGTCACAGAGCAGCGGACAGGACAGAAAGATTTTACAAAGCTATTCAAAAAAATTTTAGGTATATGATGCTGTTCATTAACTCTTTTTATTGGTTTATTTCAAATTTAGAAAGAGCATGTATATTTTTTGCAGTAAATCTCAGGCATAGTTGCACATATAAGTGCTCATATTTTGTTTGCGTTCCTAAATGTATCTCTATAACTCTTGAAATCAAGAAGTAACAATATGAATAAAGCTTACATATTTTGGATCCAAATTCTTACAGCCCTATAAAGATGCAAATGGGCATTTGTGAGCTGTTCCTAATAACTAATTAATTCATCTCACTCCTTTGCTTTTGGCTGGAATGATAATAAACCAGAGTGGTGATGGGTTACCCCATGCTGATTAGAAGCTCTAATTGTCACACATATTTTAGATCAATGAAAATGTAGAACTGAATTATTTATTTTGGAATAAGTAACATTTATCAGAAAATACAATTCAAAATGATTGTCCTTGAGAGGAAAAATAATAAAAGGAGTCTGTAGTAGTTTGAATGGCATCCCCCCAGAATTCATGCATGTCTGAATGATCAGCATGTGACCTTACTTGGAAATAGGGTCTTTACAGATGTAATTAGTTGATGAGCTCAAGATGAAGTCATCCTGGATTTAAGGTGGCCTCTATCTCTAATGACTGGTGTCCTAATTGGAAGAGGAGTGAGAACAGGCACAGTGGCTTACACCTATAATCCTAGCCCTTTGAGAGGCCATTGAGGGAGAATGACTTGAGGCCAGGAGTTTGAGACCAGCGTGGGCAAGAAAGCCAGACCTTGTCTTTACGAAAAATTTAAAAAATTACTTGGGTGTGATGAAACACACCTGCAGTCTGAGCTGCTTGGCAGACTGAGGCAGGAGGTCAAGTCTGCAGTAAACTATGATCATGCCACTGTGTTCCAGCCTGCCTTAGAGAGCAAGACCCTGCCTCAGAAAACAAAACAAAACAAATAAAAAAGGAAGAGGAAAGAACACAGAGAGGAAAGTGATAAAAAGATGGATAAAGAGATTGGATCAGTGCATCTACAAGCCAAGGAAGACCAGAGACTTCCGGCAACCCCCGCAGTTAAGAGAGGCTTGGGGTGGGTTCTTCCTCAGAGCCTACAGAGGGAGCTGAACCGGCTGGCACCTTGATATCAGACTTCTGACCTCCTGAGCTATGCGAATAAAGTCTGTTCTTTTAAGTCATGAAATCTGTGGTATTTTGTTTTGGGTTTCAGATGGCGAAAAGGCTAATAGTTGCTGCTCTATGTTTTTTTTTTTTTTTTTTTTTCAATGATTTTACCTTAAACAGAGGGAAAGTCCTAAAATGTTCTGTTATTTAGGGAGTCAGAATTTTGGTTTGAATATACTAAACTGAATGTGTTAAAATCCATTTGCCACAATAACTCATAAGGACTAAGTAATTAACACTAGCAAATTCTATTGGCAATGAGGCTACTGTTCTTCATTTATTTTCTGGACCACTCTTTTCTAAGCCATTTAGATGGTATTGCGTGAGCATTAGTGGGAGAAAATCTTCAACTTTCGAAACCAAAAGTTGTAATATTTTTAACTTATTTTTATTTTACATGTGCAATTAAAAATACATACCATATTGTTGTTAAAAAGTAAGCAATACTTATGATCAACATTTTAGTATATATATTATTCTAAATATTTTTATGTGAATGCTTTAATAAATATGAGCTCTTGTACTAATACTGACTGACAACTAGGATATTTGCTTACTATATTCTAAATAATCATAATTTACATAAAATTTAATATTTTTATACTATGCCATTTAAAATAGACATATAGTATCCCAATATACAATTGTGTTTGAATTGTCTAGGTAACTCCCTATAGCAGGATATTTAGGTTATTAAAAACACTATTTGCTATTAAAATAATGTGACAATTAATACGCTTTTAGCTAAAAACTTTTCAAAAATATGTTTGCTTCCTAAGATAAACTTTAGAATTTGGAAGCCTGGGCCATATCTTTATGAAAAGAAAATTACACACACAGACATACATCCACATACAAATATATATACTTCTGTATAAAAAATATATATATATATATGTATACATTGCTTTCCAGAAAGGTTATAGAAATTTTTTGTCCTACAAGCAGTATATGAGAGTGTACATTTCTCATATGCTTTCCATAACAAGATGCCATCGTTTATTTTTATCTTTATTACTTTAATCAAAGGAAAATGCTAACTCATTTTTGTTTTAATTTGCATTTCTCTATTTGTTAATGAAATTGAACATTTTATCATCTTTATTGGCTGCATATAGTTCTGTGAATTGACCATCCAATCATTAATTTTTCTATTGGAATATTCATCCTTCAGTTAATTATCTTAAAATAAGAGATTAATTTTATATTTTTAATGTTTGTCATTTGAGAAGCAAAAGCAATGATGATGAAGTTTTGGGGCTTCAAATCTCTATGTCTGGAAGAACACAAGACTGGGATTAAATTATCCTTAGGGTCTCTCCTACTCTAATGTTAAATCTTAGAATTCATACTAAAATATTTTCAGCAAGATTTTTCAATTTTGGTGATTTCTCTCAAAGTAAAAGTCATTATTATACTGAATATGCTAATGAACACATGTTCCTCACTTCAATTCTTTTTGCCCTTTTCCCCATTATTTTGTCAGGGGGAATAAAATAACCATAGGATCTTGGCTTTTAAAAATCTTTTAAAATGATATGGTAAATGTCACAACTTTCTGTTAGATTTAATCATTCTCTGCCTAAGAGATTTTGTCCATATTTAAAATATGAACATGATTTTTGGCAATCTACTTCAAAGTGCTCTATTATGCTAAAATTATATAGGCATAAAAGACAACCTGAGAGAAAGAAAAATAAAAGTCACTTTCAAGTCTCTGATTGTAGGCTAAACAAGAGGGTTATAAAGTTTGTGTGTCATAATATCAAATGGAAATTCACTGAGTATCTGGTGTAGAGAAAAGGTATATATGTGGGATGACTTCCTCTTTTTTTTTTTTCCCACTTCCCATGGTAGTTTACCTCATCTATCAGTTGTAAGTCACGTGCTTTAAGGTTTCTATATCGTCCTGACCCAGTTTATGAGCCACTTCAGAGTTGCTCAACTTCGTCTATGCAGCTGTGTTGTTGAGCCACTCTATAAGCTTTGCTTGCCAAGTTTCTGGCAGTAGCCCAAGTTGTTCCTAGGTCTGAAAAGCCCTGAGCTCTGATCATACCCTAAACCACGTCACCACCACATAACATGCTGATTGACAAAAAGACACCTACGTGTCTGCACAGCCATCAGAAGCTCTGGCTTCACAGGGGACTGCCTGGAGATGCAGAGTTACCAGTAAGCTATTGTTGAACTCAACCAATGTTATACAAGAGAGCAACTACTCACACCTTCCATCCATGGATTGTAAGACAGCAGTTCATGCGGCTTCTCAAGAGATACCCAGGAGACCTAGCAAGTGCTATCTTTGTCCCAAAGCTGTGTCCACCCCAGCTGGATAACGCACCACCACTGTCTGATTTCTCTTCTTCCCTGGATCACTTCTCTCATTCTTGCTCTCCTGAACTTATAACTTAAAAGGTATTACCTTGAAAGCCTTGTCTCAGTCTGTTTTCTAAAAACCTGGACTGATGTGGATTAAAAGTCACAATTGTTAAAGAAAATACATGATTATTTATTTTATAAAATTAAAAAAATATTATTTGTATGAAAACTGGGTCTAGTTTTCATAGAGAAGTTTGATCTACTATGAATTCTACCAATATTGCTGCAAAAGTGAATTTACTTTATGTTAGCAGAAAGTAGAATAATCTTTCTCTTTATTTTACAATCTACCCTTTTCTTCGGTTTTCAACCCATTCTTACCCCTGGATATTGGTAGGGAGGAATCAAAGTGACTGAAATTGGAACAATTTCATTAGATGACTTTTAAAAGTTATTGGTTAAAATGTTAAGTTTTTATCACAGATGCTTTTGTTAAATCAGCAATCTGAGAAACTAATATGAAAAAACATTTTATGATACATGTATTAAAATGATGATTCAGAGAAAAACATATAGTGAAAGTATTATAGAGAACATAAAGTTAAAAATATAAAGGTTGTTCTTGGTCCAACCAATAGATGTCACCTGCCAGGATGCCAAGAAAAAAAAATCAATGTTCCTTTGGAGTGAGGGTATATTTTATTCCTAAAGCATTTAATTCATCAAAACCTGGCAACACCACACCATGTGAACACTGACCTGTGAATAGGTACCAGAGGTTGTTTGGCTCCAGTGTTTCCATCTCACCCCTGCGGGTCGTCTTTCTGTGTCGAATTTTATAGCCAGTAATAAATCCATTTTGTGTTCCTGATGGAGGAGGCAGCCAGCTAACTTTGATACTCTGTAAAATAATAGATGTAAATTAAAACATTGAAGAAAGAAAGGACAATGGGACAGGGTCAAAGAAGTAACCCAAACCATAAGTGTGAAGAAAGCAGAGAAGCAAGAAGTGTTACCGATTGCCACTTAAAGACAAATTAAATTCATTCTCACAAACTGACAGCATTCTTATTTGTCTGGTTTTAACAGAAATACGCAATTCCTTTGACTGTTTGAATGCATTATCACCTTGCCTTTGCATACACTGCTAAAATGACAGTAAAATATTCTAAATTATATAAAGGCATAAAACAATAGAGAATAAGATTCCATTGGATGAGAGATGTCAACTAATATCTGGAAGGTGCAAATTGGAGGGAGATATGGAATATTAGTCTGTTCTCACATTGCTAATAAAGATATATGCAAGAACGGGTAATTTATATAGAAAAAGAGGTTTAATGGACTCACAGTTCCACATAGCTGGGAAGCCTCACGTTCACGATAGAGGGCAAAGGAGGGGCAGATACATGTCTTACATGGCAGCAGGCAAGGAAGTGTGTGTAGGGGGGAACTCCCCTTTATAAAACCATCAAATCTCACGAGATATATTCACTATCATGAGAACAGCACAGGCAAGACCTGCCCCCGTGATTCAATTACCTCCCAAAGAGTCCCTCCCATGACAGGCAGGAATTATGGAAGCTACAATTCAAGATGAGATTTTGGTGGGGACACAGCCAAGCCATATCAAAGGGTGACTGAGCAAAAGAAGAAATCCTGAAAACTAAATACCTTAAGAGAAAGTCATGAAAAAACAAGGCAATGAAAAACATGACAAGTCAGGGACACCAGGACATTGTTGCTACTTATTTAACTTGGAAGATAGGACTTCCAAACATAGTGCAGAAACAGGGAAGGACTGAAAGTCATTGAGATCAGGTACCCAGTAAAACCAGGCTACCAGCCCTCTCTGACCATAGTTTTTGGTAGCTTTATCCTCTGGGGATGTGAACTCAGAGGCCGAGATTCAGATATTAAAACAGAAGAGAATAGGGATGTAGGCAAGTGTAATCAAATCAAGAATGTGAGTTACCCATGTCTCCTTCCTTCATAAGACACTAGACCAATGGCAACCAAGTATATGCTTCTTGGGTAGAATATCAAATAATCTTTCTCTAGAGAAAATTATCTTTGCCCTAGAGAAAAGGTAGTTATATCCCTGTGCAATTCTCCAACAACAAGGCTACTACTGATATGAACTGGAAACAGGGAAATACTGGTTAGAAGAAGGTGATTCTCCAGCAACAGGCCCCACCCTCAAGTCTGGAAATCCACAGCCCTAAATGGCAACAGTCATTCTTCTTTTCACACACAAATGTTACCTTTTGGCCTACCATGTCCCCCTATCTTGTACCCATATTAACCCCAAACCCCAGGCTCCACAGCAAATGAGCAGATGAGCAGAAGAACAGAGGGACAGAAGAGTGGTGCAGCAGAGAAGGAAAGAAGAAAAGGAGCATCTGAACATCGAGAAAAGTTCAGCTGAGTATGGTCAGGGAGGAGATCAGCCATGGAATGACCAAACTCCAGGGGAAGATTATCTTCCCACTCCATCCTCTTCCTAGCTCTCCATCCATCTCACTGAGGGACCTCCATCCAGCAATAAAATTCCCCACATTTACCATCCTTCAGTTTGTTCATGTGACCTGATTCTCCCTGGATAGTAGACAAGAACCCAGGTACCAAGAGGGCACTGAGCTGGTTAACACTTAAGCTCTCTACAGATGGCAGAGCTAAAAGTGTACTGTAGCACACCCACCGGGGCTTTGGGAGTCACAGGCACCCACCCCTAGTTGCTACCATAGGGCCAGAGCCCCAAAATGCTCACCCCAGCTCCTGCACCTGCCTGTCTACATGTTCCCTCTCCCATAAGAGGGTGCAGCAGCCAAAGAGATGAGCCATATCCCTGTTGCACATCCTGCGAGTGGGGTCAAGGAACTCTCCCATTTCACTACTTAATAAGCCCCACTCATATGCTAAAATTTGCAGTTTAAAATCAGCTTTTTATATATCATTTTAATGTAAACTGACAATCTAACACTACCAGACATCAAAGAAAGCCCTTAGCACAAAGGAAACTGTAAAAAATAATGGGTAAGAAGATCATAGCACCTGAAGGAAACATCAGTAATACAAAGAACGAAATCCAAAAAGATGTCATTAATACCCTGGTAATCTCACAAATGGATCATCCATCCATCAACAGGACAAAAACACAGAACATTGTAGGATTTAAAAAATGTTATTGCAAAAATAATTTGATTGTACAAATTAAATACTCAATAGATAAGTTGGAAGTTGAATTAAAAGAAATCTCTCAAAATTCATTGGGAATAAATTATCACATGAAATTGGAGAGAAAAGGTAACAAATTAGAGATCTGGTTCTCAATTTTCAACACCCAACTGATAAGATGAGAGAATAAAAAAGGAGGAAAAATCAAAGGTAGAAAATTAGCAAAAATGATAAAAAATGACCCCTTTCCCAATAAAACTTTACAAAGCTGGAACACTTGAAGCTCCAGTCTGAAAGGATTGTGGAATGTTAAACAAAATAAACACAAGAAAGGTCTACTTCAAGGCACATTACTGTAAAATACTAGAGCCTCACAGGGAGTGAGGAGGGAATCGACAACTTCCCAGAATGGAGGGGAAAAAAAAACAGGTCACATAAAGCATGATCAGCAGTAAGAATGGCATCAGATTTCTCAACAACACTCGACATTAGGAAAAAATAGAACACTACTGATACAATTCTAGGATTTTAAATCTAGAATTCTTTGTCTAGTCAAATAAGCAAGTATGGGGATAATATAACACAAGTATAAGAATATATGCTAAGGACAGTATATGGATATTTCAGATGTACATGGTTTCTAAGATATCTATCTGTGTTCCCCTTAACAGGAAGCTAATGAAAGGTGAGTTCCAGGAGAAGAATGCCATCTGAAAAAAAAAAAAAAATTTCAAATGCAAGAAACAGACAGTGAAGACAATGAAGAAAATTCTAATGTAATAAAAGATTTAATTAGATGAAAAACCAGACTTCAAAGAATACATACATATTGTTTAATTCCATTTATGTGAAGTTAAAGGATAGCAAAACTAATCTAAAGTACTAGAAGTTACACTAGTCTATGGCAGCTGTTCTGGGTTTTGATTGGAAATGGGTACCAGGAGACTTTTTGGGGTGATGGAAATCTGCATACTGATTTCATGTTTGTTACTCAGATGGATACAATTGTCAAAATACATATTTTTGGGCTGAATTGTGCCCACCAAGAGTCATATGTTGAAGTTATAACTCCTGTATCTTAGAAGAATATGACTGAATTTGGAGATAAGCCCCTTAAGTAGTTAAAGAGTAAGTCATTAGGGTAGGCCTTAAATTTAATATGATTGGTGTCCTTAAAATAAGAGAAAATTAGGACACAGATATGCACGGAGATAAATCATGTGAAGACACTAGAAGAAGGTAGCCATCTCTAAGCCAAGGAACGAGGCCTCGGAAGAAACCAAGTCTGCCAACACATTGATCTTGGACTTCAAGCTTCCCTACCTGTAAGAAAATAAATGTCTGTTGTTTAAGCCACCCAGTCTGCAATATTTATTATGGCAGCCCTAGAATACCAATATATTCATGGGACTGAAAACTCAGGATTTATAATTTCATTTATATTAATTACAGCTTGACCAAAGAAGGAAGGGGAGGAGAAGCAGGAGTAGAAAAAAGAGAAAAGATTGGGGAAGAAAAAGAGGATGAAAGTGTGTTAACACCAAATCCTGACATAAAAATACATCAATAGATGATATCTAAAAATAGTGACTTAGAACTGGTAAATTAAGAGACATCTAAATAAGCACATTATTGAGAAACATAAAGTAAACGTCAGAAAAAAAAAAAAGAAAACCATACCAATATCATAAGACAGTCTTTAGTTAATGGGGGCAAGGTTTGGGAAGGGGAAAAAAAAGAGCCTATTTGTTTTAGTTATAGGTTTGTTAGTATTATTTAACTTAAAAATAATGTGCATGTAATAATCTAAAAAATGTTTAAATTAATTTTTAAAATAAGCACACAGAGTTTTTTTTTTTTTTTTTTTTAAGATGGTAGAAACAAATTACTGGCTGTTACAAAGAACCCAGACCCAAAGTCAAATCACAGATTTGTCCAGGACCTCACTGTCCCTGTTTCAGTCATGGAGCAGAGGCAGAGCTAGACTCTCCAGAGAGACAGAAATCCAAGCTCCTTCTTCCAAATCTACTACAAATTAGCTAGTGCTCTACAAATAAGTAAGTTTCTTTGAGAGGAGAAAAAACATAATCTAAACTTGAACTTACTTGCTGAGCACGTTGTTATTTTCTGAACAGTTGCCGTCACCCCAACACTGAATTTGGGAATACTTAAATATTGCTCCTAGAGAAAATATAGGTTTAGGTTCCTTCGAGCCTCTGGTTACAACATTTTTGTCAACCGATGGGTACATAACCTTGTTTTAATGTTTGTTTCTGTTTAATGATATCTTATTTAATATGGCAGTATTGTCAACTCGTTAACATTAAACTTTAATGCCGGAAATAAGGCAGGCTGCAGCCTTCTTGCTCTCAGGAACACTGGACAGCACTTCAGCACTCTACTCTGGGGCTGGGGTCATTTTAAACAGAAAAGCATCAACCAATAGCACAGAAAGTAAAAACCGTGGCACAAAATAGACCCCAAAAGGGCGCTTGTTTACAGTATAAGGGCTAAAACAAGAAGACAGAGCATCTTTTTGTTCAACCTCAGCTAAGAACACAAACATCTGGCAAGTCAAATTTTACGCTGCTCTGAGCATAACATGAAAGCACTGCAGGTGTTGATTTGAGTTACAAATAAATTTTAGTAAGCACGCAACTTTGCAACTACAAAATCTGCAATTAATGAATATCAACTGCAATTATACAATAAACATGTCTTAAT